CTGGAAGGAGATACTGACAGCCTGAACAAGGGAAGGAAATTCACTGTCAACAAATACATCAAATGTTTACTGTAGCCTCTCCCAACCCACATTCCCCCTCCCTTTTACTTTGTTTGGTACAGACACTGGTTCACTTACATGGAAGGCTGCTATATCGATACAGCATTCAGAAACACTCGAGCATGCCTTCACACCCAGGCCAGGTGAACAAGAAGCATTCCAGAGGGGGGAAGGGATGGTTTATGTCTTTATATTTATGCATTGCTGATTAAAGACGGTTACATATGGGCAATGTAACAATTTCTTCAGTTGTATTGGTACTATGTGTACATGTATAATGTATTAACTGATACTAATAAGGTCAAAATATTCTGATAAAAATAAAAAAAAATGGACTGCCGAGAAAGAGAGAGCAAGAAAGAGAATATATATCTTTGATGTGGCACTTTTTTGATGAGCATAACAATTATGCTCAAAATAGTACTAAAAAATACAAAATAATTCTACTTTGTTGAAAAAAATATCTTCTATCATCTAGCTACCCATCATCTAGCTACCCATCTATCAATCTAGATCTATGGACTAGCAGAATTTTTTAATGGCAAGCTTTTGGGAGAACCTCCCTTTCTCAAGTCTGAAGCATTTTTTGAGCAAGACGACACATATAATTCAAAGTTGAGTTGTGATACAGGGATTAACGTGACATAAGTGCAGAGAAGACACAGCTTTCATAGAAACTAGACAACATTCTTGCAGAGGGTCATAAATATCTTTCCAAAGATCAGAATGAGGGGGAGAGGGAGAAGAAAAACAAAAGCAGACAGTGGTACACTTTATACACACACACACACACATATATATACACATTTGTTCATACTTACTGTAATTCTCTTTTCCAGGTCATAGGCCATGGCAGCACAACATTGGGTAGCTACTCCCTATCACCATTGGACAGGAATAATTGAGCAGTATAAGTACCACCTCCTACCCCTCCTTCCCCAGTCATGTTTACAGCAATAGTGGGACCCTTGTGCTGCCATGGCCTATGACCAGGAAAAGAAAATTACGGTAAGTATGAATACATTTTCAATTTTCCTGGCCATATCCATGGCAGCACAACATTGGGTAATACCCAAGCAATAAACCAGGGAGAGAAGAAGACACAGACTCGAAAATTTGAATGCAAAGTGTATTAACACCATAAACAAGTGACAAACCAAGAAATCATGTATCGGATACAGACAGAACTGATTTAGCAAATTGGTCCGATAGACCTGCTCTGACATCAATTTGATAACTTTTAATGAAAGTATTGGTGGAAGACCATGTGGCTGCCTTACAAATGAGTTCAAGAGAAACATTAGCTGCGGCTGCCCAGGAAGAGGAGAGGGCCCTAGTGGAATGGGTTTTAAGACCCACAGGAACCGGATAGCCAGAAGATTGATAAGCCAGTATAATGGCTGCCACTATCCACCTGCTGATGGTAGATTTAGGGGCTTGTAGGCCTTTCTTACTACCGCTATGAAGGACCAAGAGACTTTGGGAAGTGCGCCAAGCAGCAGTCCTTTCAATATATATATGAAGGCATCTCACTAGGTCCAGAGATGACAGGTCAGTTGAATTCTCCCTTTCTTGGAATTCAGACCTCAGAGATGGAAGAAGAATATCTTCATTGATGTGGAAAGCGGAGGTGACTTTAGGTCTAAATTCAGGAACAGTACAGGGGATAACTGTCCTTGTGAAAGACCGTAAAAAGGTTCCTTAATAGATAGGGTGTGGAGCTCCGAAACTCTCCTGCCGGAAGCTAGGGCAATCAGCAAAGCAGTTTTGATAGAGAGAACATGCAGAGGAATTGATTCAAGGGGTTCAAAGGGCTCCAATTTTAAGGCGTCCAGAACCAAAGGGAGATTCCAGGAGGGAACAAATGGCTTAATTGGAGGTTTAATTTTAAGGACTCCTTTAATGAATCTGATAACATTCGAATCCAATGCCCATCTATGATTGGTTAAGGCGGACAAAGCTGAGACGTGTACTTTTAGAGTATTAGAACTCAGACCTTTAGAAAGTCCAGACTGCAGGAACTCCAAAATATCAGTGGAAGAGGGATTCTGCAGATCAATGTTTTTAGGAAGAACCCAGGTGGAAAAACTTCCCACTCCCTATAATAGGTGGCTGAAATGGAATGCTTACGTGCCTTCAGCATAGTTTCTATTACGGCCTGGGAGAATCCTTTTTTTCACAAACCTGTTCCTTTCAGACTCCATGCCATGAGATTGAGTGAAACAGGGTTTGGATGCAACACTGGACCCTGGAACAGTAGATCTGGAGCTCTGGGGAGTGGGAGAGGAGGTTCCACAGAAAGACAGCGCAGGCGTCCGGGAACTCCCGAACGCCGCGCAGGCATACCGGAACCTCAGAACACGAATCCATGCCTTTTGGACGACTTCCCTGCATCCTGGGAACTGCCATCTAGGCATCCAGAAGCTCCCTAGGTATGGGAGAAGCAGCCACTTACCGTCTAAAAGCTCCTGGCGGTAAGTTTGAATCCACATCAGCCTCATACCTTGTTTCTGGAGGGAAGATTCCAACCATATTAGTAATGTAATTGGTCCTTTACTTGCTACCCCTGGGGTCATTGCAAGGTAATAGAAAGGAAAAACCCCCGGTCACTAAAGGGGTTTTCTCGAGGGGGACACCTTTGCACCGGGCCGTATACTGGAGACGTCCCAGGGGAGAGAGGGTGAACTCCCAGGGGCTGGAGGAACTAATCCTCAGGTAAGCCATAAAAGAAAATTTTGCAGTCCTAAAGACCAACATATCCTAGGGATAGGACAGGAAAAAAAAATAAAATAAAGTCACATTTTACATGAACACTCCCACACATTATCTTACTGTTCTGTCATATGTATAAACATTTCAAAACGCATTCCAATATGTTTATTCTATCAATATACAAAGTACTATGTGTAGACCTATGCTTTCCGATACTCTTATTATTTTATTACTTATATAGCGCCATCAAATTCCGTAGTGCTGTACAATAGTATGCATTTATGCTTGTATATGTGAGTGTGCATTTATATTTCTGCGTGTGTGTGTGTGTGTGTGTGTGTGTGTGTGTATACACACTTCTGCACTGTCTGCTTGTTTGTTCTTTTTCTCCCTCTCCCCCCTCACTCTGATCTTCAGAAAGATATTGATGATCCTCTGCAAGAATGTGTTTTATCTGCACTCATGTCGCTTTAACCCCTGTATCACAACTCAGCTTTGAATTCTATGTGTCGTCTCCCGAAAGCTTGTCGTTAAAAAATTCTGTTAGTTTAATAAAAAAAAAAAAATGTATTACAAGATACAAATTGAATGTTTTTTACATCTACATCACTGGACTAATAAGGCTACAATCTGTATCTTTTTAACCCCTTAAGGACACATGACATGTGTGACATGTCATGATTCCTTTATTCCAGAAGTTTGGTCCTTAAGGGGTTAAACAAAGCACACTAAAACTTTAATTTAATTGTGTTAAGCAAATACACCAGTCCTAATATCAATAATAATCAGTATCTTGTTACTTTTTTTTTTTTTTTTTTAAACAATGTATTGACGTCTTTACTTATTCCTAGAGTTGGTTTTATGAAAAATGCACCATTATTAACCCATAGAAACAAACTATGCTTTTTATCTCTGCATAGACGAATACCCACACAGCCACCGATACATGAACCTGCAAAATGCAACCTCCCTGACCTCTAAACCAAGTAACATATATACCCTTACTGTTATTTCAACCAATAACCCCATGTCCATGTGTCCACCAATACTGGAGTCAGGAATTTTTCAAGACTGCTCTTAATCTTACAAGTAGTTATCAGTCAAGAAGTAAAATGCTTTACAATATATGTCAGTATACGAATGTACTCATAGCCAACTTCAAACATAATCCTCCTGTTTTAACCATGCTTAACTAAAGCACATCACCTATATTATATAATATTTTATATAAGACACACCTTGCCAGATGTATAATTATATAAAAGTGAGAACTGTTGGAAGTTCAAAGTGAATTCAAACTTAATGTTAAGGCCAAAAGAGCCAGAGTAGACTGGAGGATATTTATAATTTGACTATTTTGATCTAATTTAGAAATTTACTTTGAAGTCAGTTTGAATTTCAAGCCATTCTCAATTTAGTGAATAACCCTACTAACATTAGTAATTGTCAGAACTGAAATCTAGAATATTAGAGACATTCCAAACACCATGATAATTACAACTTTTTGTAGTGGTTGTAATTAAATTGTAATTAAACTGTCCGCATAATCCCATGTTTTAAAGTTTGCCCACTTATTTTAGTTTTGAATAAATCATGTGTACACAGACACTGTTGCCTTGATACAATTCTAAAACAATTTCCAGATGTCCTTTGCAGACTTTACATCCTGGAAAAACACAGGTGCCAACTGCTGTGACTTTCTGCAGTGTGCAGACCGGCAAGGAGGGCAGGGTTGAGGAGTGGGTGGAAGATGTGGAGGATGATGAAATCCTAGACCCCACGTGGAATGAAGGTCATGCGAGTGACGTGTACAGTTTGTCTGTCCCCTAGTGCTCGTCAGCATATATTAGCTCTAGAATTACCACAGTTATCCAAGTAACAGATGAGTGATCAAAGGAACCATAACTGATTTAATTAACCATTCACTGTAGCGGCTGTGCGCGCTTTTGGCGTTCTCACCCTGGTGCTGCTCGCCTGTCTGCGCTGCAGCGTAACTCCGGCCTTCCTGCTCGCCACCTCATATGCGACATGCCCACAAGTTGAACTCCACCTTGCACATACTGGAGAGACTGTGCGAGCAGCAGCAGGCGATAGTGGAGTTTCAGCTGCAGCACGCACGGGCTAGTCACTCTGCACCAGACTTGCCCACCAGTAGATCCTCGTTAAAGGATTTAAAAAGTGTACTCATTCTAATTACAGGGCCTCTAAAGAGTCCTGTATTATTTTTCGTCACTACCTCCCCGCGTCTGGAGTGGGTAATTTGCGCGCATGCTGCCTCCCTTGAAGGTGGTAGTCGTTTCTCAGGCTTCCTCTCCAGAATCAAACTCTGATTCTCCAGTTACCCGTGGTCACCATGGTAGGCGCAGAAAGTACCATAGAAAGTTGATATGGCAGACATCCAAATGAGTCGTCGCCGTCACAGGGACGTGCGATTGGCCCAAGGTTATCTAGAGTCACCAAAGTGCCTGTGCAACGACTGCCTAGTTGCCCACATTCTAACTTGTGCTGATTACTGGGTGGCCACCCTGCTGGATCCCCGTTACAAGGACAACGTACCGTCCTTAATTACCTCACTGGAGCATTAATGGAAGATGCGCGACTACAAGCGCACACTGGTAGACGCGCTGCTGACGGCATTCCCAACTGACACCGGGGGCTCAGTGGAAGCACAAGGTGAAGGCAGATGAGGAGGAAAAGGTCGCCAACACAGCTGGGGCACCGCCAGCACCTCACAAGGCAGGGTTAGCATGGCCGAAATGTGGAAAAGCTTTGTCAGCACACCACAGCAACCAGCACCACCCTCCGATATGGAACGTCTTAGCAGGAGGCAGCATTTCAGCAACATGGTGGAACAGTACGTGTGCACACGCCTACACGTACTGACTGATGGGTCTGCCCCATTCAACTTCTGGGTCTCCAAATTGGGCACATTGTCTGAGCTTGCCCTTTATGCCTTTGAGGTGCTGGCCTGCCCTGCAGCCAGTGTATTGTCTGAATGTGTGTTTAGCACAGCAGGGGGCGTTATCACAGACAAGCGCAGCCGCCTGTTGGCTACCTTGGCTACCTCCTCCTCCTCCTCCACTGCTGCTTCCACCTACACCGCCACCTCAACCTATGGGTCACTTAGTATAAACTATGTACACAATAGAGGCTTGTGAAGGCCCTTTCTCCATGCATCAAGAGTTGAGCTCAGTTTGAACAATGAAAGAGAATACCCTGCACTCCAACCCTCTCTCAAATGGATATTTCTGGTGATCCTCCTGACAGCCATGCTTAAGATTTTGATTTATGTTCTTCCAAAGCTAAAATCATCTAGTGCTATTTTATGGCTCAGCTGTATTTTTAATTTGTATGTATTTTATGTTATTTGAAGTGATTTTCCTATCCACATTTGTTTGCAGGGCACTTGTCCTACTCTTACCACTATTGTACTTCCTTTTGCAGCCCTCTAGCCCTTTCCAGGATATTTTTAGAGAACTTTAAGTGCCCAAAAGTTCGGGTCCCCATTGACATCGAGCTCGAACTTTTTGCCGGCGTTCAGCCGAACCTGGCGAACCCGAACATCCAGGTGTCCGCTCAACTCTAGTCGGCATTATAACTGCAAATGGAACAATGGATAAAGGTTGCCTGGTCTGATATATTACATTTTGTAATAGATCAGGTGGATGGTCAGGTGCATGTGAGTAATTTACCAGGGGAAGAGATGGCAGCAGGATGCACTATGGGAAGAAGGCAGGCCATAGGAGGCAGTGTTATGTTCTGGGTAATGTTCTCTTGGGATGACTTGGATCCTGGGATTCATGTGGATGTTACTTTGAAACATACCACCTACCTATAGACAGGGCCAGTGCTTCCTATAGGCAACTTAGGCAGTCACCTAGGGTGCCGCTTTGAAGGTGGTGCCCTGAGCTGCCAGCTCAGTGCCCCTCATGCTGCAGCCGCCTGATTTTCCAGCGCACAGGTAGGGCCGGCATGTTCATTAGGGTGCACCAGCATGTGGGGGGGGGAGCACGATTTTAGGGACTGGCAGGAGGGAAGTGCACAGGTATCCCTCCTACCTGTCACTCAGTGTAGCATGGCCGGGTGGTGCGAACTGTGGCATAGACTTCTGTTTCCTGTACCCGGCCGGACTGACAGGAAGTGCTCATTAAAAAGAGGCACACAAGGGAAGGGGAGAGACCACCAAAAGGGGGGGGAGAGGGGAGTGTCACGGGTGTCCGCGCGGTGGTGCGTGGACCAGGACCCAATATGCCTAATGTTCAGAGTAGGAGTCACAGTGTGGAGGTGGATTAGCAGGGTCTGGTGCAAGGTAACCGCATGCCCCCTGGTGTTGAGCACAAGAGTGTGTGCAGCCACATACCAGAACCCTGATTCAGCTTATGCAGATCCCAGAAACTAGGAGCTTGGAATTAAGCAGACCTCCAAGGAGCTGAATATGGAGGCTCTGCAGCAGGGATGTATCCAGTACTGAAGCAAGGCAAGACTAGGAGAGCAAGGCACCATACAAGAAAACAAGACTAAATAAAACAAGATAAGAAATACAAGGTAAAACAAGAGGAGACATAACTAAGCACTATATATGAAAAGTATGGGGATTTAGTCACATTATATGATCATACATTGCATAAGCCTGCCAACAGCGCCAATGTACCCCATATCTGGCAGGTCCTACACTGCCTAATGTATGTTAAAACAACCATACTAAACCACAATATAGCACTTACCTGCAAGAAAGGGCAGAGGCTTGAAACACTGCTGCAGGTCCAGGATGAAACAAATGGGTGTGGCAACATAAAACAAACACTTAAATGAAAGAGACTGGGAAATCCAGGGACGGAATATAAGAATGAACCCAGAAACCCAGCAACAAAGAAAACCAGACATAGACCATAAACCCAAGCAAGGACAGCAAAAAGAGTACTGGATACCAGAAGCCATTGCCAGAATGATCTGCAGCGAGGAATATGATGTGACAGGGAGGAAGGGAGAGAGAGACCACCAGGACAGGGGAGGAAGGGAGAGAGACCACTAGGGGAAGGGGAAAGGGAGAGAGAGAGACCACCAAGGGAGGGGGGAGTTAGAGACCACCAGGGGAGGGGGGAGGGAGAGAGCCGGGGAAGGGGAAAGAGACCACCAGAGGAGGGAGGAGAGAGACCACTAAAGGGAGGGAAGGAGATGGGCCACTAGGGAGGGGGACCACCAGGGAAGGGGAGAGACCATCAGGGAGAGAGGGGAAGAGACCACCAAGAGAGAGAGGAAGAGACCACCAGGGGAGGGGTAGGAGAGTCCCACCAGGTGAGGGGAGTAGAGACCACCAAGGGAGGTGGGGAGAGCCACCAGGAGGGGCACCATGAGAAAGAGGGGGAGGTAGATGGGAGATTACCAGGGAGAGCCCTGATAGCCCTGATC